TAAATTCAAAGTGTTGAAAGGGTTCTAAGACATTTTCAACCATTCCTCTGAAATGGCTACTTCCAGGGTACCTTAAATTTTTGAAGTAACTTTACAGAATGCAACGCAACTTCAAAGAGCCTTCCATGCACGCTCGATAGGGCCGAGGTCCAGCGAGTGTGTAGGTCACTTTATTCGGCTAAGGAATGTGTCAAACAGTTTAACACGATGGAGGCGGACGTTATTATCCAATAGTTTGAAGTAAGTCAGAGACATTTGCACCAGCACATGACAGGACAAAGCATCATAAGATACAGTCGTTCTAATGTGTATCATGCTTATTCCTGTCCACACCATACTTCCACCACTGATGGTGGCCTGATGGTTAACGCGCTCAACTCGCAATCTGTGGGTCAAGGGATTTAAAACCCATCTCTGAACATACTCGTACTTTCAGCCGCGGTGGCATTATAATGTGATGGTCAATACCATTATTCGTTGTGAAGAATAACCCAAAAGTTGGCGGTGGATGCTATTTACTAGCTGTAATACCTCTAATCTGTCATTTCAAAATTACGGTCGGTGATGGCCAATAGTTCTCGAGAAGCTTTGCGCGAAATTCAACAAACAAATAATCCACCAGTGTTATATGTGAAGCGTTCCTGTATAAAACTTAGGAATGAACTATAATAATTCGGGCGCGGGGCTAGCAACTCCACCCCGTAAAAACCAACCTGCTATAAGTAACTGCAACAACACCTTCCGTTGGCGAGGTGTTGTTGCGGCCCTATGCTCCACTGGGAGTTTACAGGAATAATAAAAAAATAAGAGGTAATTTTATAACAGATATGATATTATACATTACGATTATCCTTTAATAGTTTTGTGCAGTGTATTTAAGGCAGTTGAATATCAGCTTTAAAGAACATTATTTGATCAGTTTTCGGTTACATAAAAAAACTGACGGAGTGGATGTATATAATTATCACAGATTTATATGGGAAATATTTAATAAGAAATTGTAGGTGGCTTGACTTTTCAGTTAACGTTACAGGAGAAAGAGTTTATAATGACAAAATCAGAAGAAAAAATTGTTTTTCTTCAAAATTTAACAATAAATAATATATAAAATAATTCTAATCAGTATGTGCCTCAATAAAACGGACGAAAGGTGAATGACTCATCTGTTTAAAAACATGTTGTGTCTCATTTAAAAAGAACACTTCTAGCTGATGAGGGCAGTTTGCAGCTCTTCTCTTTAGAGTGGAACGCTTACTTCAATATCATTCAATGTTTTTAAACCAAAAAAGCCGCTTGCTTATGGAATAAGGACCATTCCGGTCAGTTCAACTTTTATCGGTAGAAATTCTTATGCTAGCTAGATTTTCTGTATCAGTTGCTGAACAATAAGAAAACGTACCGTTGGAAATCTGGATATTTTACTTTTAGCTGCTTGCTTCGTTTTCATCGATTCAATCTGAGTGTTTCGTCACTGGTCTGTGGAAGTTGTGTTTATTATTAATGGTTCTACCGTCAGGGGGATTTGATCTGCACGCAAGCAGCGGAAATCATTCTTTAGTAGCAGGGTCGACCAAATGTTACAATGTACGTGTAGTACTTCAGAGAAAAACTAACTCTCAGACAATGGATATATTTTTCACGTATACCCTTCATTTTATGAAAATATTCAGACTTTTATTTAGTTTCAAAACTACCTAATTCCAACCATAAGATAAAATCAACTGAGCCCCATTCTTTTGTAAACAAGATATATTCGATGATCAATCCAATTTGTTTATCACAGTTATCTGGTTTGTTTCTTTTGTAATTAAGCACAAAGCTACACAATGGGCTATCTGTGCTCTGCCTACCACGGGTATCGAAACCCGGTTTTTAGGGTTGTAAGTCCACAGACATACCGCTGTGTCATTGGGGGGCCAGCCATCTGGTATTGAAGAAGTATGCTGAGTACAATACAAAAATATGATTTCAAAATATGAATTACGATTAAAATGAAATAAGACAAAAACATTAAAATGTTTTATTTTCTAACTATTCTTTATACGAATATTCATAGTCACAAATTCATTCTAAGTTTTTCTTAAATTTATAATTACCCATGATCGGTTATTTTTGCACTGGCTTGGTAGTCGTGCAATTCAGCTTTTCTATTATTGGCGCTATTTAAAGGTTTTTAACTATAAAATATAGATCCCAATGGTTGTTTAAAGACGTCTAAGGTATTTGTCCTTCAATGAGTCAATGACCCATGATGGAAAGAGATCAGATAACCCATTTTGTAGCTTTGCGCTAAAAACAAACTGTTTCTGGGTCCACTACTTTATTGGTAACCTAATAAGACATGAGTACGCAAATAGTGTTAACAAAACTGCCATAAATATTGCAATTCATCCCATGATTACTTTGGGTTCACATACGTATTTTTATATAGAAAATGGATGATTTCATTCACTTTTGTTTTCAACAGTTCTTTATGATAAGCGTGGTAAGTTACCCAATATGATACATTATATGGACCCCATTGTTAGTGAATGGTATAAAAACAGATATGTAATTTTAGGGTTAAATTAAACTTCATTTAAGAGAAAATGAAATCGAAAATAAACAATTAACTTTAGACGGAGATCTGACACCATAAATACCTGACAGAAGCAGCAGATTTTTGCATAAGCTACAGCATCATAGTTTGAAAATATTTTTACTCTAGAATCACGCGTACAACTGAAGATTAAATTGTTCTCTGGTTGACCAAGGAATAATATGATGAATTTATTTCTAAATTCTTAGTAAAAGATAATTTTAACTTAATCAGGGTAATGAAATTTGCTTTTTGTAGTTTACTATATTATCTGAACTGTAATGCGTTTTTCAACAGCTTACAACACTGAAATTACTATGTGTCTGAAAAATATAAAAACAATACACAAAACTTGGTAATCATTCGTAAAGGTAAGGTTTAATACAAGCTTGAATTCGTAAAATGTACCTGCATAACTCAGCCATAGTCTTATATATGGATATGTCCTGGAAATTGCTCTAATAATTATTCGAAAAAATATATCATTGCACTAAATATTCCTACAAGATCTGCAGCCTGTTCATTTCAGTCTGTGTAGTTTTCTACATGTTCTTAAGAAAGCATTCAGTTTATGCATAATGGGTTTAGTTATATGTAGAATACGGCTTACTTTGCTAAATGTATTTTAATTCAATTACTTATAAACATCATAACGTTATTAAGTGGTTCCACGAACCCAAAAACAGGTATCGTCAAAATAAGAACAGTAGGTGTATTGGAAAGCTGCCTGTGATTTACTTTGATTTAATCACCTGATGTTTTAAGAAAAACAAAAAAAAGTTCTAATGAAGTACAAGTTAACCATGTCAATTCTAAATGGATAATTTATACATAGATTGTTCAGTACTGTTCTTTCCATACTGGTTTCAAAACACGTGATTATGAATATTTTAAACAGCATGTTCTCTTCCACCACAGCCCCTCTTTAGTCTTGCGTGGAAAGTACGTACACAAGGGAACCGTACACGTTTTACACCGCCACAACTTCCCCAGCAATACTTTTTTTTCTGCCGTACCTTTCAGTACTATAAAGAAGGAAGCTCTACAGGCAAAGTAAACACCACACGCATTGCATACAGTATATACCCATTGTTTTTATTAATAAATTCGCAATACTTAAGTAGAAAAAAACAACACATACACCTCGAATCTATTTTTGCAGAACGTAAAATGCATCACTTAGTGAAGCTACAATATAAAAATATGCTAAGCATTATGACTCATAATAGGATTTACCTCTAACATTATTAAGTACATCAATGGTTCTTTTGATTCAGGTAGCATTTTACGAGTTGAAATAAACTGGTTTAGAACTCATGACCACGAAAATGAAGGAACACGGCAGAAAAAAATTCAAACTAAAACTTTTTATCTGGACTTTCTAATTAAATTATTGACTGTGACATACATAGTAACCGGTTTATTGAAATTCCACCTCTGTGTTTACCCTGTAACAAATGATGATAAACTTTAAAAGTTATTAAGAACATTGATCATCTGAATATTTTCCATTCTACTTTGCCAGTTTGAAATATAACAGTTTGGTGAATTAAACATTTTAAAGTCTCCTATAGTCTCCTAAGTGGAACAAAAGGCATGCATTTGAAACGTTATCTGTTTCAAAGACTCTGATCTTCAAAATTGACAGCGTAGTTGAAAATGAGTATCTGAAATCAAAAACCAACAGTAAAAAAGAAAAAAAACACCTGATAACTCTTCACATCACAACAGTAGTTCCAATTAACTATGATAAATAAATCGCGGAGGGATTACGCTTATTTCTATATTAAGTTGCATATTAATTTTTTCCGTCAAAGCTGAGATTTTTAAATAGTTAATGCTGTAACTCAGTACTGATCCTGTGCAATGTAAGTCTTAGCTCACATTCCACATCATAGTCATCCGGCAGATACTTTAAAGGGTATTATGGCGTGCTTTTCCTCTCTTTCCAACATAATTCAGGAGAACTACCGTAATGGTAATAAATATATATGCCTGTATATGCAATATGAATATAAAGGCTACCTTGGTATACGTATATATTGATCAAGAAAATAGCGTTGTCTACCGAATATCAAGTATTCGCAGGCCATAGGCAGGTAGCTAGAGGTCGATACTTGGCGTCATGGCCCAGTGCTTTACTTCTCTACGCAGCCTATCACAGAGCCCCACGCTGCACGTGCTTTCATGCCCCTGCTGAGCCCGCTTTGCTGCAGTACCAATCCAACTGTCGAACTAGCTGCTCGGTTAGCGACATGTGAGTATAGCGTACGTGTGGCCCCCCTACCGCTAACCTTGAAGATAGTTTCGTTCCGTCGGTTAAATCTCACAAGCCCCGAACCGTCCATTCCGTGCCTTTCGATGTCAAAAACTTAATACCACTACATAGATTAATATGAGAGGACCTGTCTTGACTGTAAGATTGTATAAAGTAGTAGTGGAAGAGACCTACTTAAAACTAACAATTAACTTTACTTAACTGTCATTAAGAAGACCAAAAGCCTATGATCAAGAAAATCTGGTACTAATTACTGTTATACACGTGATTCAGGTAACCTAACGAAGGTAAGCCTTTAGCCGTTTCGTTAATATTTAGACATTTAGGAATTACAGCATTATATATCACAGCTGCCAATGTTTTGTCATTTATCTATCGATTGTCTATTTGGATCAACTTTCCAATCTCAGATTCTCTAAAAGCTTTTTTGCTGTGAGTACACAACACTACACGTGTTATTTTAGCAATATTTCAATAACGTGGTTCAGTTTCAGTATAAACTAGAAAATGAAGTCTAGAAAATAGCTGAATAGGTAAAATGTAAATGTCTTAAATATACAGAACCATGTGATAAAGCGTTTCAAGGTTCAGCGTCTTTCTTAAAGTTACACCTCGAATATCACTTCCTTTCTATATCTTTACGTCATGATTATATAATGTTAAAAATAAACTTACTTTTGGAAGGTTATTTGATTGTACGGTATCTAAAAGAACAGATTGTTTCAATAGAGTTACATGGTTGTATAGTGCTTAAGAAACTAACAAGTGCTTGGAAACCCTACTTATCTTTGGGCTTAAACTGTGTACGGTGTTTTAAAACTCGGTTTGCTTATGAAAACTGCCAGTTTATATTGCGTTTGAAAATTATTTGTTTCTGGAAACCAGCATGATGAAAGTTTATCTGAAAAGTTGTCTTGTTTGAAAAACATTACACAAAACCATGCTTGAACTTTTTAAAAATTGCATGGTGGCAGATGTTTGTAGTATTTAACAATTTGTAACGGCTTACGTGGCATAAAAACGAAACACGCAAATCCACTTTCCCGCAAAAGAATATCCTGTTAAATCAATGTTTCCAAATATTAACTTGTTTCTGGAAGCTTAAACCCCGTTAATGTGTTGAGACGATCGTCTCAGAAAATAGACTCAAATACCCGAGCACTATCGGAAAGTGGACTTTTCTAAAATTTTATGAAATCGCTCGGATTATTGGGTTTATTTTCTGATGCTAATTTTTTTTCTGTTGATCTTGCTTACTTTGGAATATCATGTGTTCAAAAGTTTGTCTAGGACTAATGGAATGTTGGTGTTACAGGCAGTCTGTATGACTTTTTTTTAACTTAGCTTGTTCATTAAGAACTACAGAACAATAATTTAATTTGTTTCCCAAGAATTCTGGAGCTTGACATGCTGTTGTTGACGTATGTGGAATTACGTTTGTAGGTTTAGCTTTTGTTTATATTTTATAAATATTAGAGTGATTTATCTTTCATGGTTTCTAGTAGTGGACGTCTCTCCTTAGTATTACATGTTGGAAAGGCATCTGGTGCTATTCGTGTTTCCAAGAGCTTTCATAGTGATATTATATTGCGTCTGAAATTTAACATTTTGTGCTTGTTTTTTTTTTCATGGCGGAGTGTTATCGGAACGATTATTTAATTTTAATTTTAAACCTTTAAGCCGTTGTTCACTCATGGTAAGGACTTGCAATGACTTCATGGTAATATTGCGTCTGAAATTTAATTTTTTTTCTTGTCTTTCCATGATGGAATATTATCTGAACAATCATTTTGACTTTAAAATTTTTATGCTGTGTTCTCTCGACATGGTGAGGAACGATTATACAGGCATACTCAATTTAAAAGAAGCTTAAGAGTCTATAGAATTAATTGAGAGCTTTAAAATATTCATCACGTTAAGCTTGAAATAAAGGTTATGTTTCAGTTTTAAGAGCAGCTGCATATCAGTTCTGATATCTTTCAACTACTTGCTTTAACTTAACATTAACGTTAATTTTCTATATATATATATGTTCTCAAGAGCGATAATTTCGATAAGTTTAAGACGCTTTCTCTATTATATAACTGTTAACCCGGTACCATACGTAAAACTAAACGCAATGCATTTTATTCAACACCATAAGTGCATATTAGCTTCGTAGGGATCTATCTGTTTACCTCTAACACTTTGTCTTTTCCAATAATGACAGATAAAGCATTTAGTAAAATTTTAAGTCTTAATAAATTCTTCAAACTTGCATACCTATCCAGGCATTTTATGACGTATAGAGCAGCTAGTTTACGCGACATTTAATTATTTTTTGTTTTCTATATCTTTTACTATTCCTATAAGCATTATGAAACCCTTTTTCAGTAAAACCTTCCCTTAAATAAATTTATTTTAAAGCCAATTATGAATTCTTCTAGATTATAAACTTGGGTGGTTAGGAAAAGAAATAGATGTATGTTATCATTAGAAAAAATCAAACACGAAATGCATTATTTTACTCAGTTCACTTTAGTTGAAGTCTTTACGTGGAACTCCCTTTCATTTTCGCTTTCACGAATTCTATAAACTATCCTCTACTTGTAGGTTTGTTAAATTTGTTTAGCACATTTTATTAATGCCCAAAAGTGACATTGATTCCAAATTTACATGTTCTAGTATGAGATTTTCAACCACCTATTAGTGGATCCAATCTAGCTTAAAGGCCATTTAAGATATTTAGAAAACATTTAAAATTTAAAAAAAAAATTTAAAAGTGTTGCAAGTTGCAATGAAATTTAAAGATTAATCTTAATTAAACTTGGCGCCACAACTTAGATGATTTTTAATTAAAACTACTGTACTTTGGCTGTACTAAAATATTTCTATGTTTAGTAATATTACATTTTGGCTGTTCAGGAACGTTCATCCATATAAGTAGACACAGACAATATGATTTGTAACATTTATTGGAAATACATATTTAGTTTAAAATATTAGACATTTCGAAATTCTTTAAGCTAGACATCATGCTCACTGATTTGTTTGTACTGTTGTGAACTTAATATTAGTATGTCAAATATGTTTATTCTTAAGATGGTTAAAAATTTATCTATATGTTCAGCATCTCTAAGTGTAATGAAACTGACATCCACATACCATGTTTAACGGTTTAAATTAAGAAGGCATTAATCAGGACGTACTTTTTACAGTAGCAAAAAAACAAGTTAGCAAGTGGTGGAGATAATCTTCATGCTATAACCATACAATATACGCAATCATACAAACAACTTTAAATTTGAAAATAAGACTCTTTAATGGCAAAGTTTATAAGTTTTAGAAACGCATACTTAGGAAATTTGATTTGATTACTTTAATTTGATAACAGATTTCAGTGAATAAATTTACAGTATCATCTAACGAAATGACAGAGTATAAAGATATTTCAACATCATAAGAAGCACAGCAGACATTTCTGTCAAAATCTAGATTTTGTGTTTCTTGCAAAAGAAAACACTGTCTTTGATAATAAAATACAATACTAGTTAAATAAAAAGAAATTCGTGGTTATTAGACTCAATCGGTCTAACATTACAACCATCCTTGTGAACCTTAAGAACTCCATACATGATACCGGAAGAACAAAAGAAAACACTGTCTTTGATAATAAAATACAATACTAGTTAAATAAAAAGAAATTCGTGGTTATTAGACTCAATCGGTCTAACATTACAACCATCCTTGTGAACCTTAAGAACTCCATACATGATACCGGAAGAAGACTTGATGGTCTTATTTTATGATATTCGTCTTCTATCAATAATGTTTCTTCACAGTTCTAGTAAGTGCAGTTACCTTTTCTTGTTTTAATTGGATCTATGGTAAGTATTACAGATTTAGTTTTCTTATTTAACTTTATTAGAACAGCAAATAGTATTTAAAATGACTATATTATTTCATTTGTCTGGCTTTGTTATTACCGTATTTTCATTTCTGCTTTAATTTTTTTGTAGATAGAAGTTTATCCTTACTTATATTTACAGGTCAGCTTCTAGATTTATAATTACCAAACGATGTTAAAACAACGCTCCTTACTTGAGTTCTTATGTTATTAAAAGATGCGTTATATTACTGCCCGTCCAGATTGTTTGTTAAAAAAAATATTTCAACAACTGTTCAAATTTCAGTAGATAATCCCAAAATTAAACCTTTTTTTGGGATAGCAAAGTGTTTGGCCGTGATCCAATACACGTTTCTATATATCATTTAAAACATCATTAGGCAGATTGAGAATTACATCATTAGGATGACGGATAAAATTCTTCATTAGATTTCCTTAGCTGATTTAATTTTGCTCAATAATTTTTCCTGCATCTCAAAATAATTTGATTATTTTTGTATTTATCCAGCTAAATAACTGGATATAACTTAGTTTACTATATAACCTTTTCACGAAAATTATTCTTCTACTTGTTTAATTGCTTTATGGGTTTATTTTTGTATATATTCTATGAATAGTTTTTTTAAATTGTAAATACTGTTTCGAATAATGAAATTGTAGAAAAAAGTTAGGACTGTAAAACTAATGAATTAATGTTATATTGTTAATTTTACATTGTCCCAAAAATCTAGATCTAATTGGCTTTTCTAGTAATTATAATTTTCTAATTGATAATTTTAGTTATTGGCAGACTGGGGACGGATCAGTTGGTGACCCGCACTAAATTGAATATCTAAGTTTTAAACAAATGCTATTGAAAGATATAGTACTTTACTGTCCGATCCCAGATTGTTTATTTAAACAACAGCTTCAACAACTATTCAAAACTCAGTAGATAATCTTCAAATATAAACTATATCACAACTAACAATATTGCAAATTTAGTTTAGTTATTTAAGTTTTCTTGAACTTTTTTAGAACGTCGAATTTTATTTAAAATGACAACACCATTTCCTTTGTTTTGCGTTGTTATTATTGTACTTTCGTTTTTGCTTTAATTTTCTGTAGCTTGAAGTTATTGTTTTAGCATACATTAATACACAACAAAACACTATGTAGTCAAATTCTCTTGTCAGAGAAAAATCTTAAGAAACTAGTATCAGAAAGTATAAAAGTCCATTGTCTCTTACACATACTGTTAAGACGGATCAAATCAATGCTTAAAAATGTATTGTATAAAAGGATTAATGGCACTTTACAAGAATGATGATCCAGGTTCTATGCTGTCCTTGGATCTGCTTCCTTTATATAATATTTTATAATATTTGAAGCAAAGAATCCACACAGTGCAATTAGGGAATC